TGGTGTTACCTCAAAAAAATTGAAAATTGAATTACCATTTGACCCAGTGATCCCACTTCTAGGAATATAACCTAATTAGTCTGAAACACCAATCAGAAAGAATATTTGTACCCCCATGTTCATAGCAGCACTATTTACAATAGCTAAGATCTGGAAACAGCCCAAGTGTCCATCAGTAGACGAATGGATAAAAAAGCAGTGGTACATATACACAATGGAGTACTATCCAGTTGTAAGAAAGAAAGATCTCTTATCCTTTGAGATGACATGGAGGGACCTGGATAATATTATCCTAAGCGAAACAAGCCAAGCACAAAAAGACAAATACCATATGATCTCACTTATTTGGGGAATATAATAAACATAACAGTCTGAGGAATAGAGTAGACCCTGAGATGTGGAAATAGGGTACAGACTGACAACCCTCAGAAGAAGGTGTGGTGGGCAGAGGGAAGAGATAAACCACAGAACTTATATGCATGTAACGCATAACCAATGAACATGGACAACAAAGCTGGGGACGGCGTGGAGGGGATGGTGAGGAGGGTGTCAATGGGGTAAAAAAGGAGAAACATATGTAACAAAAATAAAAAAAATAAATATCTACAGAGAATTACACCCCAAAACTGAAGAATTCACATTCTTCTCAAGTACACATGGACTTTCTCAAAAATAGACCACATGTTAGGGCACTAACAAAGTCTCTACAACTTCAAGAAGATTGAAATCATATCAAGCATCTTCTCAGATCACAATGGCATGCAACTAGAAATCAATTGCAACAAGAACATGCAAAGACATGTGAAAACATGGACGCTAAATAGCATGTTATTGAACAATGAATTGGTTACCATGGCGATCAAGAAACAAATTAAAAACTTCATGAAAACCAATGAAAATGAACACATGACAACACAAAATCTATTGGATGCAGCAAAAGCAGTTCTGAGAGGGAAGTTCATAGCACTATAGCCTACCTCAAGAAGAAAGAAAAATTTCTAAAAACTATCTAACCTCACAAGTTAAAGAACTAGAAAGCAAACAAAAAGAAAAACCCAGAGCAAGTAGTAGGAAGGAAACAGTAATGATCAGAGCAGAAATAAATAACATAAAGACCAAAAAAACAATTCAAAAGATCAATGAAACAAAGAGCTGGTTCTTTAACGATAAACAAGATTGATGGACCCTTAGCTAGACTCACCAAGAAAGAAAAAGAGAGAGTACTCAAATACAGAAAATCAGAAATGAAAGAGGAGAAATAATAACTGACACCACAGAAATACAAAGGATTGTTAACAAATATTATGAACAATTATACGGCAACAAATTCAACAATCTAAGTGAAATGGACAAATTTCTAGAAATACACAGTCTCCCAGTACTGAACCGGGAAGAGATAGGAAAGTGGGGTGTCTGGGGGAGATATATCACGTAACTTATATGCACATATGCATGAACAATGGACATGGCCAACAAAGCTGGGGACAGGGCGGGGAGGGAGGCCAAGGGGGAAGTCATTGGGAGAGAAAGGAGAAACATCTGTAACAAAAATTAATTAATTAAAAGATAAAAAAGATTGATTAACTTCTGAGGACTGTGAGGGGAAAGCTTCCCTCCTTGGTCTATAGATGGTTGTCTTCTCCCTGTGTCTATTCATATAAATCATGAACAAGACAAGGATGTCCACTTTTATCACTGCTATTTAACATTGTACTGGAAGTGATAGCCAAAGCAAATAAAACACAAAATGAAATAAAAATCATTCAAAATGTAAAGAATTAAAACTATCTCCATTCACAGATAACATGATTCTACATATAGACAATCCAAAAAGTCTACAACAGAAACTACTAGAGCTAAAAAACAAATTCATAGCCCTGGCCGGTTTGGTTCAGCGGTTAGAGCATCGGCCTGCGGTCCAGAGAGACCCGGGTTCTGTTCCCGCTAAGGGCACATGCCTCGGTTGCAATTTGTCCCCGGCCCTGGTTGGGTCTTGCGGGTGGCACCTTTCACATCGATGTTTCTCTATATATATCTCTCCCTCCCACTCTGAACAAAAGATGGAAAAATATCCTCCGGTGAGGATAAAAAAAAAACAAATTCAGAAAAGTTACAGAGTACAAGATCAATACACAAAAATCAGTCGTGCTTCTATACACACTTTTCAACAGCAGGGATGGACTTAGAGACTATTATGCTAAATCAAATAAGCCAGTCAGAGAAAGACAAGTACCATATGATTTCATTCATATGTGGAATCTAATGAACAAAATGAACTAACAAGCAAAATAGAGACAGACGCATAGAGAGCATGTTGACAGCAGTGGAGGGGGTGTGGGCTGGAGCCAGTTTGGAGGGATGAAGTAAAAAAGAGAAAAAACTCATGGACAGGGACAACAGTGTGGTGATTGCCAGCGTGTGAGGGGAGGTGTAGGAGGGTATAGATGGGGTAAATGGTGATGGACGTCAACTTGAGGTGGTGAACACACAATACAGTGCACAATGATACGTTGTAGAATTATGCATCTGAAACCTACATAATTTGTTAACCAGTGTCACCACAATAAATTCAATAAAAAGGGGAAAGAATAAAATCATTAAATTTACAATAGCAGCCAAACGAACAAAATATCTAGGAATAAATTTAACCAAGAATGTTAAAGACCTGTGCACTGAAAACTACAAAACATTGCTGAAATAAGTTAAAGAAGACATAAATAAATGGAAATACATTCCATATTCTGGACTAAAAGATTTAATATTGTGAAGATGGCAATATTGCTCAAAGTGATCAGTAGAGTCAATGCAATCCCCATCAAAACTCCAGTGGCCTTTTTACATAAATGGAAAATCTGATGCACAAATTTATGTTGAATTTCAAGGGGTCTTAAATACTCGAAACAATATGAATAAAGAACAAAATTAGAGCAGTCACATGTCTCAATTTCTCAACTTGCTACAAAGTGACAGCAACCAAAAGTATGGTACTGATGTAGAAACAGACATATACACCAACAGAATTGAACTTCCAGTCCAGAAATAAACAAATAATCTATGGTCACTTGATTTATCAACAAGGGTGCCAAAACCATTCAGTAGGGAATGGGGAATGTTTCTCAACAAATGGTGCTGAGACAACTGGATATCCACATGCAAAGGAATGAAATTGGACCCCTAATATATTCCATATACAAAAATTAATTTAAAATAAATCAACAACCTAAATATAAGGGTTAAAACCATAAAACTCTTAAAAGAAACATAAATATAAATCCTTTAAATTTTTTCAATTACAGTTTACATTCAATATTATTTTGTACTAGTTTCAGGTATACAGTATATTGGTTAGATAATCATATACTTTACTAAGTGTTCCCTCTGATTTTTCCAATACCCAACTAGCACCACAGATAGTTATTACAATATTATTGACAATATTTTCTATGCTGTACTTTACATCCCCATGACTATATTGTAATTATCCATCTGTATGAAGAATGAATCTTTATGACTTTAAATTTGTCAATGTATTCTTAGATATGACACCAAAAGCACAAATAACAAAATAAAAGAATTAATAAATTGGACTTCTTTTAAATAAAAAACTTTTGTGCATCCAAAAAACTTTATCAAGAAAGTGAAAAAAACAGCCTACAGAATGGAAGAAAATATGTGTAAAAAACATATATCTAATTTATATACAAAGAACTCTTACAACTCAATAACAAAACCTCAACAATTCAGTTAAAATAGTCAACGGAGATGGTAAAGGTCAAATACGTGGTAATGGAAGAAAGCAAACTAGATTTAGGATGGTAAGCACACAACAGAGTATACAAATGATATATAATGTTGCACACTTGAAATTTATATAATGTTATTAATCAGAGTTACAATAAATTTAATTTAAAAAAATAGAATGTTTTTTTTTAATTTTTTAAAGTGGTCAAATAACTTGAACAGACATTTTTCCAAAGAAGATATACAAAAGTCCAAAAGCACATGAAAAGTTGCTGAACTGCATGAGATATTTTACTAATGAAAATCTTAAGTCACCACTTCACACCCACTAGGATGGTGATAATCAAAAAAAGGGGAGGTTATAATAAATGTTGGTGAAACTGGCACACTTGTGCATTATTGGTGACAATGTAAAAATGGTTCAGCCACATTGTGAGGCAGTTTGGGACTTCCTCAAAAAAAATTAATCATGCAATTCCCATATGAATCAGCATTTCCACTCCTAAGTTTCTACTCAAAGGAATTGAAAACATGTTGACACACAACTTATACATGAATATTCACAGCAAAATTATTAATAGCCAACAAATGGAAACAACCCAAATGCCCATCAGGTGATAAATGGATAAACAAAATGCAGCCAACCACACAATGGAATAGTATTTACCCATAAAAAGGAATGAAGTACTAATACACACTACAAAATGGATAAATCTCAAAATCATTATGCTAAGTAAACAAGCCAGGCACAAAAGGACAAATGCTGTATGTTACCATTTCTAGGAAATATTTAGACCAGGTCAGTACATAGAGATAGAATGGAATTCGGGGGTGACCAGAGGCTAAGGGGCTACAACATGATGAGGAACCCTTATTAATGGGTGTGGATTTTAATTTGGAGTTATGAAAATATTTTGGAACCAGATAAAGGTGGTTGCTGCACAATGTTTAAATATACTACTTGCCACTGAATTGTCCACTGTAAAAGAGTTAAATTTATATTCCGCAAATTTCGCCTCAATTTTTCTAAAAAGGCAGGGCAGGGTGGTGAGGGAGGTCAGTGTTTGGTGAGGTAAAGTCGGGGACAGAAGGGCTTTCTGTGGGGAGCCGAGCAGGGTCTGTGGCTATGGAGGGAGATTCAGAAAGAGAGGCCTGCAGGGAAGAGCGGTGGGGGAAGGCAGGCTCCTGAGTAGCTGCTGAGGGGCGCTTGTTCATCCCTGACCTGGTGGCCTCCCGCCGGACCCAGAAAGGATACTCACGGAAACCCAGGTAATAGCACAGCAGCAGCATGACACAGATGGTGAGCAGGAACAGAACCAAGCGATTGTGGGCCCACATCTTCACCAGAGACCTGCGACCCTCGACTCGGAAGCCACGCAGGGATGCTTGACAGCTGGGCTGAGGTGTTGCAGGCACGACAGAATAGCTCCCAAGATTGCTGCTGCCGCTGAGGTGCGACCCCACCACTGGGTTCTCCGCAACGTAAGACGCATCACATCTGATCAGCCTTACGCGCGCCCCTCTCAAAGCCCTGGTCTCCTCTCTCATACATCTCCCTTCCGAGGGCATGGCTCCGCTTCTGACTAGCTGAGAAGATGCCTCCCCACCAACAGCGCTTCACCCATAAGCTCCTTGGTGCCGACGCATGCGTTGTGCCCCTGGGTGGCACGTGCCAACCCACGTGCCCAGGTCCCACCCCTTTTAACGGCCTGCAGGGTATCTTTTGCATCACCTCCCTCTCAAGTCCTGGCCTTTCTAGTGCTTAATAGTTGTTGAATTGTCTGGGACCTGAGGTCTTCACCAGGATCATAGCGGTTTGTTCCAGATCAACAAAATGGTCTCAGTGGAATTCAGACTCCAGCCTTGACTCCTAATTCCTACTCAGATTTGGTGCTCTGACAGGTACTGTAGCATCTATGGTCACTACAGTTGCTCATTACAGTATTTACTAGTCAAATATGTATATTTAAATGTAAATTTTAATTAATAAAATTACATGGAATTGAGAAATCAGTTCCTTAGTCACAGTAGCTATATATCCAGTGCTCAATAGGTGTGTGTGTGTGTGTGTGTGTGTGTGTGTGTTGACCATTTTGGTCAGTGTGAATATGAAGCACTTTTATCATGGCAGAAAGTTGTAATGGGAAGCACTGGATGTACACAGTAACTGTAGTGAATATGGTCGATATCCAATAGGTTGTTACACTGTAGTAGGAGGTTTTAAGGGGAACCAAATAGTATTTGCCTTCAGAGACCTTAAGGTTGAGTTACAAATTAATGAAACTATAGGAAACAAAAAGAAATGTGTGATGAACACTAATGAGTATTGTCGAACACTTAGATTTATTCCCATCATTTGCCAATAATGAATTGGATGACTGTAAGAGCCTTCCTCTTGCTGGGCTTCAATGCTGTATGTGTAAAATAATAGTTAGCATTGTCTCTAACACCCCTTCTTGCTCAAAAATCTGCCCCTTTAGCAAAATCCCATTAAATTGCTTGGTTTGGGCATGCCTGCAAAGGGACCATGTAGGCACACTTGTTAGCCTACCTCATTCTTGTTTTCAAGGGATGTGAAAAATGCCCCTTTCAACTAATTTCCAGCCTTATTCTTTCTACATTTTACTCTGGCTTTCCAAATGGCTTTCTACTAATTTTATTCTATTGTTCTTTCCAATGCTAATAGATATTCCATAAAGGAAAGGAGAAGAGAAGATTTCCTATGAAAATAATTCTTAAAATTTAGCTCACTGCACCCTAACCTTGTGCTCTCATACAGGAGCAATTCATAATGCTTTTTATTTTATTAAAGGATGTGACCAAAAAAGAAACTGTTTTTTTTTTCTTTTTTATATCTTTTAAAATGTGTTTTCTTTGTTTGTTTGTTTTGCCTCAGCTTTTCCCAAACTAATTTGACCAAAAGACACCTTACAAACAAACAAAAAAAAACACTATTAACAGCTTCTTTTTTTAATAATTTGTTTTTGTTACAGATGTTTCTCGTTTTTCTCCCATTGACACCCTCCTCCCCTTCCCCCAAACCCTATCCACAGCTTTGTTGTCTATGTTCATTGGTCATGCATACATGCATCTAAGTTCTGTGCTTTATCTCTTCTCCCACAAACCCCCCTCCTCGGAGGCTTGTCAGACTGTACCCCACCTCTATGTCTTTGGGTTAATTTTGTTCAGAAGTTTGTTTAGTTCATTATATTCTACAAATAAGTAAGATCATATGATATTTGTCTTTCTCTGCTTGGCTGGTTTTGCTGAGAATAATACTCTCCAGGTCCTAGCATGCCATCTCAAAGGATAAGAGATCTTTCTTTCATACTGCATAGTATTCCATTGTGTACATGTACCACAGCTTTTTAATCCACCCATCTACTGATGGACAGTTGGGTTGTTTCCAGATCTTAGCTATCGTAAATAGTGCTGCTACAAACATGGGGGTACATATATTCTTTCTGATTGGTGTTTCAGGCTTCGTAGGGTATATTCCTAGAAGTGGGATCACTGGATCAATTGTCAGTTCAATTTTTAACTTTTTGATGTAACACCATAGGGTTTTCCACAGTGGCTGCACCAGTCTGCATTTCCACCAGCAGTGTACTAGAGTCCCCTTTTCTCCACACCCTCGCCAACACTTGTTTGATGATTTGTTGATGGAGGCCATTCTGACAGGTGTGAGGTGATACCTCATAGTTGTTTTAATTTGCATCTCTCTGATGATTAGTGATGTTGAGCATTTCTTCATATGTCTCTTGGCCATTTGTATGTCCTGTTTAGAGAGGTGTCTATTCAGCTCCTCTGCCCATTTTTTAATTGGGTTCTTTGTCTTCCTTTGTTGAGTTGTATGAGCACTCTATATATATTGGAAATTAACCCTTTATCTGATACATCATTGGCAATGATGTTCTCCCATACAGTGGGCTGCCTTTCCATTTTGATGATTGTTTCTTCTGCTGTACAGAAGCTTTTGAGTTTGATGTAGTCCCATGTGATCATTTTTTCCTTTGTTTCTCTTGCCTTAGATGATGTATTAGTAAAAATTCTGCTGCGTATGATGTCTGAGATTTTGTTGCCTACATTTCTTCTAGAATTTTTATGGATTCACGAATTACATTTAACTGTTTTATCCTTTTTAGTTTATTCTCGTGTATGGTGTAAGTTGGTGTTCTAGCTTCATTTTTTTTGCAAGTAGCTGTCCAATTTTCCCAACATCATTTATGGAAGAGACTGTCTTGACTCCACTGGATGCTCTTGCTACCTTTGTCAAATATTAATTGAGCATATTGTCTTGGGTCCATTTCTGGCTTCTCTATTGTGTTCCATTGATCTGTCTGTTCTTGTGCCAGTACCAGGCTGTTTTGATTGCAGTGGCTTTGTAGTATAATCTGAAATCTGGTAATGTGATCTCTCTTACTTTGTTCTTCTTTTTCAAGATTGCCGTGGCTATTCTGTTCCATATTTTTTGGTTCCATATTTTTTGGCATAAACTTAACCAAAGAATTAAAGGAGCTCTTCACAGAAAACAACAGGTCATTGAAAAAAGAAATAGAGGAAATTTTGTGGTTCCATATAAACTTTTGAAGTGTTTTTTCTAGCTCTGTGAAGTATGTCATTGGTATTTTGATGGGGGTTGCATTCAATGTGGAAATAGAGGAATCATATCTCAACATAATAAAAGCTATATATGAAACACCTATAGCCAACATCATACTCAATGGGCAAAAAACTAAAAGCATTCCCCTTAATAATGGGAAAAAGACAAGGATGCCCACTTTTGCCACTCTTATTTAACATAGTACTGGAAGTCTTAGCCACAGCAATTAGACATGAAGAAAAAATAAAGGGGATCCAAATTGGAAAGGAGGAAATAACACTGTCATTATTTTCAGATGACAGGATATTGTACATAGAAAACCCTAAAGACTTCATCAAAAATCTACTAGACTTAATAAATGAATTTGGCACAGTAGTAGGATACAAAATTAATGTCAAGAAATCAATGGCATTCTTATACACCAATTATGAAATCACAGAAAGAGAAACTAAAAAGACAAGCCCATTTACCATTGCAGCAAAAAAAATTAAGATACCTATGAATAAACTTAACCAAAGAAGTAAAGGACCTCTTCACAGAAAACTACAGGTCATTGAAAAAAGAAATAGAGGAAGATATGAAAAAGTGGAAGCATATACCTTGTTCATGGATTGGAAGAATTAACATTATTAGCAGCTTCTTGAAATTACTGCTTGTAACTTGTGTAGTGTCTGAGATTTTACACTATTTGTGAGTTACAAGGTAGCCTGCCACAGTCCCATAGATTCTGACAGGGAATGCGAAACCATTGTTTCAGAGACAAGGAACCAAATATTTTCTGCAACATGCAAAAACTTGAGAGACACATGAACAATTGCTACACAAAAGCAACCATCTTCACATTATAGCACACGCAGAAAATGGTTGTATGGCTGGGCACCACACAATCACCCTGAAGGAAAAGGGGATTAAGATAGAGCACTCGAGTTGGGAATTCAGCTCTCAACCGCCTTATGGGTTGCATTCTATAATACTTCGTTTTCCATTCTGCAAATTACAGGCTATGGACAGCTTGACCATGAAGATTCTTTCCAGCTCTGGCTTACTATGTCTAGTATTGACTGTAGCATTTGTGTTTGCTGTAAAGGAAAGGCATGGCAGTTCTACAACAGTGTGATGCTTCCTAATCAATCCCCATCATACCACTAGAAACCAAAATTTTAACAAGAACTCAGAGGTAAAAAATTCCTAAGGTCATGCCTGAGCACTCTCTGGTGCATACAACAGTAATTAGCTAAACTTAGCTTCCTACTAATTAACTCTCCCTGGGTTCATCACTGCCCTGGAAACCCTCCTTCCACTTTCAGGTGAAGAGAAGGGGTTAGTAAGCTTCTTAGACTCTTTGTAACCCCAGATTATGGTTTCAATATTTGTGGTCAATTTCTTCTCTTTTGGAGCTTACATTATCTGATTATACCACCTGCTTCATTTTCTTCCTTTCAGGGGCCTATTAAATTCCAGAAAAATTCTATCCTCTACTTTCATACTTTAGTATCTGAATCCCTGACTTTCCCTTACATCACAACTCTTGGTCATTATTTTTGGTATGAAATTGGTTACATGGCTCCTTCACCTTCCAATTTTCAAATTCTGAGACCCCTGAATTATTTATCCTCCTCAAATTTTTTACATCATTTGAAACGATTAACCTCCCTCATTCCCTGAGAAAAGCTACATGTCCCGACTGGACTGTAGGCTCTATGAGAGCAAAGATCTCATTTACCTTGTTCATTGATGTATTTTTAGTGTCTAAACAGTGGCACATAGTATACTCTGACTTGATATATTTTAATGGATAATTGTCATGACAAAACAACATTCTCATGTCCTTCTAATCCTCATCCTATTGGCTAAATGTAGGTGATCCTCAAAATTTGCCCACTGCTACCTACTATTTGTGTTCTCTTAGATTTTTTTTTAACCCAAGTGATATATTTACTCCCATTCTTCAAAGATTATCACTATG